CAAAAAACGGTCCCTTGCTCCACCTCCCTCCTCCTGCCCCTTGTAGCCACTGCTCCTGTTTGATGTCTGCATATTTACTTGTTTTTTCCACGTAAGTGAGGCCCTCCGATGTAGGTCCTTTTGAGATGAGCTTGTTTCTCTCAGCAGGATGTTTTCAGGTTTGAGCCACCCATCCATCCTGGGATTCTCTGTATGGGAGGGTAGTAGTCCTCTGTGAATGGGTTCTGTGCCCCATTTTGTTTGGGTCCTACTAGCGGCTGTTTCGGTTGTTTTGGGCTTTTGGCAATTGTGAGGTGTGATGCAACTATTGGTGTCCAGGGGTCTGTTTATACCCCCGTCTTCCCCTCTTCTGGGTACAGAGGGATTTATGTTTGCCAATCTAGTTGTCAGCAACCACAATTGCTTTTTTGATTTATACTCTCCTAGAATTACTCTCTTATGCTTCAGTTAATTGTTCAGCGTTACTGAAGTAATGCTTCCATTAACTGTTCTATGCACTGCAGCAATTTCTCCAGGAATAAAATGACAGAAATAGCCAGCTAACAGCAGAGAACTGGAACAGTTAACTTGAAGTTAGCCTTTCTTCCAAGCCTGTTGACTTTCCCTCCCAGGGCCCCTCAACTAGTGATTCAAGACGTACACTGTGGCCCCCAAAGGAAGAAAGCCTCCTCCCCACGTGGCGTTCAGCACTCCCATCAGAAGCTGCCGTAGTCACCGTGGAGCTACGGCTGTGGGAAAACGTCAGGTTTCTACTTAGCCATCTCTGGTCAGTGTCGAAAAGTCTTGGTGTGGAGAGATGGAGACTCCATACACGTCTCTGGTTGGTCAGGGTGAAGCTTCCTAAGTCATGGAATTGTAACTCTGACTCCTGCTGAGCGATATTCTGAAGGCTGTTGAGCCAAGACTTGTGTCTTCCTTATTCTTCATACAAACCGAACCACCGGACCCACTGGCTGTCGAGTGGAGCGCCCATTGCAGCTCGGAGGGGCAGTGGAATGCTGAAGGACTGACCTTCCACCCGCTTCAGGTTTTCCTCCCCTTCTGCCCACCGTGGCAAGGAGACCAGCAAGCTAAGAAGGTTTGACCCTTTCCCCTTTATATTTATTTTCTTTTTGAGCAATGTTCCAGAACAACGGATGGCTGGCTTTATTTTTGTGGATGGATTATTGAATGGGAAAATTACAGTTTCAAGAGACTGTTTTTTTGGCAGGTAGCAATTATCAAGTAACCACGCTGTTACTGTTTGCTGTCTCGAGTTGGTTCCTCCTCTGAGCGACCGATACACAGCAGGACAAACCTCTGTTCCATCCTGCGCTGGGCTCACCATTGTTAGCTAGTTAGCATTCATATGCAAACACGAGTAAAAATGGACTATGGACTATTATGACTTGGATCCCCTGCCCCCCCCCGCCCCCCCCAGGATTAAGATCATGTTTTTGGATGGTATGTTGCTGTATCGGGAACAACAGAAACATAGAACTCACAATAGCCTCCACGTCTCCCTGCCGTGAAGGGAGGAACACACTGTGTCTGTGTCTTTCTGAGACTGTAAGTCTATGTAACTAGAAAGCCTCATCTTTCTCCCAAGGAGGGGCTGCTGGTTTCAAACTGTTGATCTTCTGGTTAGCAGCCCAACATGTAATCCAGGATGTGCCACCAGAAAAATTTCCGTAGTCAAAGCTGGGCTGTATTTTGATTTTCATTATGTTAACATTTTAAGTATCTGTCCCTGTAGCAATAGAAACCTGTTCAAGGTAGTTGTTAGCCCATTTCGGGGACTTTAAATGACACTAGCTCTAAGCCATCGATTTTGGGCTGGGGCGAGTTAACAATAAGTGCTACCTTAATATTAAACCTGTAAATATGTGCACAGAGATCTAATTCCCCTTCCTCATATATAAATATATTTTCATATATACATGTCTTTATCTAAATATTTATAAATTCCCTTTGCCTCCCAGCTCTTTCCTCTATTTCCCTTGACTTTCCTCCTGTCCCACTATCATGCTCAGTCCCTATCAGGGTTTCAGAAATTCCTCTTTGTTACATTACCCTTGATCATGCCCTACCAGGCCCCCCACACCCACCTCACCACCAATTTGGATCACTTGTTGTTC